ATGATGAGATGATGATGATGATGATGATGATGATGATGATGATGATGATGATGATGATGATGATGATGATGATGATGATGATGATGATGATGATGATGATGATGATGATGATGATGATGATGATGATGATGATGATGATGATGATGATGATGATGTTGAAGGAGATGACTCGGCTTCCTTACTTTTCAGTTGTAGATTTGTTTTTAATTTCCTATGTTTGGACTTCAAAATTATGAAGGAGTAATCCAATGATAGGTTTCCTCCTTCATAATTGTTATTCTAGTTAAAGTTGGAAGGATTCTCCCAGCCTAGGTTGTCGTAATTGAAGTAAGGGTTATTTGAGTGATCGTCTATCTCATCAATATTTTCAAAAGAGTTAGTGTCAACCATATATCCAAATGAATTTTCCAGAATGACTAGGGGTTCATGAGGTTTACACGTTGCATGATGATCTAATTTTCTTTAAATATCTGTAATCCGAGAAGTTAAAATATTAAGTATATCATCTTCATAATAAGTCATCATTTCTGCAACAGCTTCTGAAGATCTTTTCTATTTCCTATCTCTCCTAACAATTCTCTTTATTTTTGAGTCGTATGATTCAAGGTCTGCAACTCGTGAACTATGCATACAAATCTAGAGACTTACTAATAAGATAGATATCAAACACGTTAAACAATAAACAAATATTTTTGGTATTTTAAGTTTTCTTATATATATATTTTAACTTTTTTATTTAAAAGAAATACACAATAATAAAACACACTTGATAATAACACTAAAATTTCCAAATCTAAGTCTTCTAAGTTCAACTAAAAATTCTTCTAAAGTTCTCATTGTCAACGACACCAAAAACTTGATGCGCCCTTAGTGTGTGGTGTTTTTCTATGTGTTTTATATCAATTTAAATTCCTGATGACAACATCAAAAATAATGTGCCCTATAGGTATGTGCTCACACTAGAGGTTCTACACAAGTATACACATCATTCAAGTAATTCACGGATCTAGTGGAGTCCCTTTTATTGATCCCACAAAGAAGCAAGTTAAGAGGTCCTTAGTCAAAGTTCTAGTCTACTAATATCAGGTCTTAGTTTGGAAGATTGATTTAAGTGGTTTTTCCAACAACTACTCCTAAATGAAAATATTAATTCTAAAGAACTCTATCTAGATGAATTGGTTTGGTGAATTTTGAGATATAAAAACTATTATTTTTGTGTAGTGAATTAGATAATGTTTAGGAAAGAGATACATAAAATTTAATATAGCTAATGACAATGGGAGCAAATCTTTTCTTTACTCTCTTTCTAGCCCATAAAGAACATTAGTACTTAAAGTCGATTCCTTAACATCTCGATTCCACCATCTGAACTAACTAGCTTATCACCCTAGCGTCCCACACCCTATGCCACAAATGTGACCGAATCTCAATTTCAAGGTACGGAGCCTTATGTCAAATTGATATGAATTTATCCTGACACCCTGGAAATAGCCAATTTACACCCTTTAACAAATATTTTTTAAATATTGCATTCAACTACATTAAATATTGTAATGGGTCAAATAGTAGCATACTTATTCTTTACCTTCTCTCGAGTGTATAAAGAACATTGGTTAATCCAAATTTAAGTCCCAAAACTCATGGTTAGGCTGGGAAGATACTAGCTTTCACTTTAGAGTTCCCACATACCCTTCATCTGAAGGCTAACATATCGTTTTAGGTTTCAAACATCTGGATCAAATTGGAAATTTTAGTCTGTCACTCTAAAATTACCAATTTATGTCGATCAAAACTTATTTTCCTTTCTACATTCTCATTCATAAGACTAAATGTGATTCTTACTTTGTTGAGAATTACACCGTCTTCTCAGATCTTAATACGAATTTTAACACTACAACAGACCATTATTGTAATGTAAATTAAGTTCAAGTAAAAACCATCACATTGATAATCAAAACCTATTCTAACATGAATCCCAAAATCTTAAACATGAATCCTACTCATTGTAAAAGAAAAGTAAAAGGAAAGCAACAACATCACATACTCATGCCACTATTTCCTAATAAGAAGAAAGCGTAAGAAACACAACTAATAAAGTATGAAGAAAACAAAACGGAAAACTTCATTACATCAAAGTAAATCTGCTAGATAAGTGTTCACAAAAATTATAAGATAATGAATAACATATTACTTAACTTTTCCCCTTGAACAAAAGATGAAGATCTCTCCAACAAAGTTTCCCGCTAATTCATACAATGATAGTATAATTTCTTATAGATTCTCTCAAATCCCTCACCAATCTCTCCAGAAAATGTAGAAATCTACATCTCCATCTCCTCTCTACATTCACACCAAACTCTCTAAAAATCTCCCACTCCAAAAAGACTCACTTTGGACTCTCTAGAAGTCACTTTAAATAGAGTTCTCAAAATCACCAAGAGTCACTTCAAGCACCTATTCAAAAGCAGTCCATGATCATTGAACCTTCTTGAAAACCGTTTTTGGCGCATAGGATCCAAATCTGGAGCTTAGGCGCCAGTCTCTCTGTTGATTGGTGCCTAGGAGCCAGGTCAACTTTGGCCTTTTAGCTTCTTTTGACTCCAAATTGTTCTATTTTCATTATATTTGCTCCATTTATTGTATTTACAACCAAAAACTTTAAAAATACATTTCATTTAAAGCGTAATATCATTAAAATATACATTAAATGTACAAATAAAGTTAATATATTTTAAGCATGCCAAAATTTCTCAAACTTAAATGTTACTTGTCCTCAAATAACGCTATAAGTTTTAAGACTAAAATTGTTAACTTGTGGTTGTGGGATTCTTTAAGATGACCTAAAATTTTATTTTAGAAATGTTATAGTCTAACTTAGAAGAATTTTAAGTAAAGTGGATGATATATATGGCATCAGAACATTTAATATTAAATTTAGGAATATTGATTTTCTATTTAATTCAGACGTAATTGAAATTTTTTCAAACTTGAGATTTTTAGAAAAATATTAATTTCAGAAATTATAAATTCTATATTGAAAATAAGTTTTACTAATACTTTTTGACATTATGCATAAGATTGATCTTACGTTTTTTTTTTCTTTTGAAAAATTCAAGTGAATTAATTTTTAATTAGATCTTATTTCTCAAGCTTCTCCTCTCCTTTTCATACTTCACTTTTCTTTTCGTTTTCTTTTTTTATTCATTTTCTTTCAGGATCTTTTTAATCCTTACTTTTTTTTTAAGTGAGTATTACTATATCTGGATAATAAACCTTTAATGGATAAACCTTTAATGATTTTGAATTTCACTATCTCTTTTCTAAAGTTAAAAATTTATTTTCTTTCCTTCACTGAAAATTTTGCATTAATTTTTGAAAAAGAATTTTCATAGAATCTAAATTCTTTAAAAACTATTATTTTAAAAATCTTTAATTTCTCAAAAATTCAATTTTTGTTCTTATAAATAGTAAAATCATTTCCCTAATATTTTCTACTAAATCTTAACTTTAGTTTCATTCTTTTTACTAACGTTTCTACTAAGTTTCTCTATATCATTTCTAAAAATCAAAGGTTTAGTATCCTAAAAATAACACCACATACCACATGACATTTTAAAAAGTGATATTGAATTAAATACAAGATACCGAGGACAAAAAAAGTTAAGTTTTAAAATGATTTTTCTTCCCCCCAAACTTGATTTTAAGTATGTATAACATCAATACATAAAATATAAGTAGGAAGAAAAACAAGAAAAACAGTAGGAAGAAAAACAATTTAGAAATTCTATCTACCACAAATGTCTATCAGAAACATCTACAATTATTAATCCGGATAGAAAACATGTAGCAGAAAATAGATCTAAACTAAACATGCCATAATAAAATTAACTAAACAAAAGCCTAACTAGTATAACATGTATCAGCATAGGAATATAAAAAATGTTCTTCAAGTCCTATGTAAAGTTGTAACACAAAAACAAACATAAATACAAACACAAATATTAATACATAAATGAGACCAATTCTTCCTCCATCTCATCACTCAATTTTTAACTTCAAATTTTCTAACAAAATCACTTTACTAATTAATTTGGTACTTTTAAAAGCTTTTATAGAGTCTAATTCCATTGACATGATTATCCCTGATTTGTTGGCTCGCGAGCAACAACTACAGACATCACCTTATCTCATTAAGTACGCACCTCAAATAGTTATAAAGCATGGAGGAAGATCATCCTCAGGTTATTCTTCAACTGGTTTATGGAACCAAATTGAAGAAAATAAAATCAGATAATAGAAGTAACAAAATTTAGATGGATCTGTTCAATGTCCAAACTCATAATGTCACTAGTTAATCCTCAAGTCAGGTTTAGGCCTGAGTTTTAATAAATTGGTTAATCCACTATTACCAGAGAACAAACATAAGTCCAGTCATAACTTGATCATAAAATTTTATTTAAGGAAGATGAAGCAAAGAACCTAGATTTGACGGTACAAAGAACAAGAAAAATAGGCAAACATCATCAACAATCCAGTCGACCAGACTAGCGAGCTTTGCAGAAGGAACAACAACACCAGGCGAGGGTTTCAGGTAGCACGCGGAGCAGCGACGCTAGATGTCGTCGATACCTTCTCTAAAGCAACGCCACCACCTGCAGATGTCGTCGATACCTTTGCCAGAGCAACACCACCACTTGTAGATGCTGTTGATATGACTTTTGATCTCGTGTAATGCAATCGCCGATGATGATTTCGAGTAGATCGCGGAGCAAAGCCTCACAAGCCTTCATATCAAACCGCAAATATGAGACAAGAGTAGACAGCATAATTTTAATATTTGAAATATGAAATATGTAATTACTTATGTTTTAAGTGCCATCTAGGCTCTAAAATTAAAGATAGAAAAGAAATATTTAAAAAATGACCATCCTTCGTAAGAGCCACGCAAACCACCGGCCCGTTTTGGGGGTAGAAAGGGTTAAAGCAGAGAAAAAAGAAGTAGAAAATTCTTTACTTCTCCTTTCCTCGCGATTGACCACCCCACTTCTTTTCTCTCGCTCGCGCTGTAACATCTCGAGGGACTCCGTTCTTGGAAATTGCCTGGATCCTTCTCCGTTTTCCTCCTTCCTGCAATATACTGCTTGGATCGGGGGAGTTCGTTAGGGTTTTCGCGGCAAACTTTTAGTATTTCGAACACTAGGGTTTCTCATGATCTGATGAGTTTCGCCTTCCTCTGCGAATGTCTTGCCCCCAATTCCTTGTCCTGCTGCTGCTGTTCTTTTTCGTTGTTTCGGGGAACCCGGACCTTGGCCGCCGAGTCGAGGAGGAATCGGACCCGGGAGGGGCTTTCGCGGAGCTGAGCGATATTTCTATTTGGCACGACTATGCGCCGCCGGCGCCAACGCCACCTTCACCCTTCACTCCGCCAGCATTCTCCTGCGAAGATGATCTCGGGGGAGTCGGATCCTTCGACACGCTCTGCTTGTTGAAGTCGACTGTGCAGCTCACCGGCGATGTCTACATTAAAGGGAACGGTAGCCTTAATCTTCTCTCGGGGGTTGAGTTGAGCTGTCGGAATAAGGGATGCCATATCCTGGCCAATCTCTCCGGGAAAATAACCCTCGACCCCCGTTCGGCCATCGTTGCCGGAACGATTAATCTGGCTGCGTTCAGCATGAGTATTGGGGACGGGGCGGCTCTGAACTCATCGGCCTTGGCTGGCGATCCGCCGCCAAAGACTAGTGGGGCAGCAACTGGGATCCATGGCGATGGTGGCGGATATGGAGGCAGAGGAGCTAGTTGCTTTGTGAGGGAAGGACAGACTCAGGATGACTCCTGGGGTGGAGACGCCTACGCGTGGGCAACACTTACGATACCAGATAGCTATGGAAGCAAAGGTGGCTCGACTAGCCTGGAAGAGGATTTTGGGGGAAGTGGTGGAGGCCGTATCTGGTTGGAGATTGAGGAAGTGCTCGATGTCAATGGAACGATCAGTGCGGATGGTGGTGATGGGGGACTGAAAGGTGGTGGCGGTTCTGGCGGGAGCATCTATATATCGGCTGCCAAAATGTAATGCCGCTACTCATTACCCCCCTTTTTTACCTGAATATCGGTTCCTATTGACTTGGCCTAATAATTCCTGTCGGAGTCAGCAGCTTCCATGATTGCATTTTCTTGTGCGGAACCACCAATTCATAGGTTAACATGCTGGTGTTTTTGTTCGTTAAGATTTACTTCCATGTTAATTTTTGTTTGTTAATTGCGCTTATTATGGTTATCATGGGCCCTGATTTTATGTTAGTCGCGATTGATTTTTTCGAATCGCTTTTAGAAGCATCTCTTTTCAGATTGATATACAGTGAACCATGTATCCACTGTCATGCATAGTATTTACAATGTGAAATACTGATGAAGTAAATGGCATGTAATTTTTTCAGATTTGTATTTATGCACTTACCCTAATTGTAATTAGGTTTCTACAAGTCATTATGTATTGCTTTATATGAAATCTATCATTTTGATGTGCTTTGTAGGCTTCATATTCTCATCAGTCTAAATTGATGGAAATTTGAAGCTCGAGAGGCATAATCTAGTTTATATCAACACATATAATCTCAGCCTGGGGAGTGTCCTTGTTGAATCTTGTTGCTTAACCACATATATTTTAAGGCCTAGGGTGCAAGTTGTTATTATTGGTAAATTCAGTTGTATGGCTATTGTGCAGAAGTTATGTTGGTTGAATTTATTATTATTAATGTTTAAAATTATGCAATTAAGTATTGAAGTACTTTTTATATGTAAGGTGATGCATAAACCTTAAGACAGGCATAATTCTCATAATTAATTAATTGATCAAAGTAAGATGTGCGATACTAACATCAAATTGTGACGTAAAAATATCATACTAACTTTGTAACTTCAATTCATTAAGTAAGTTGTGCCATATAAATTTCAAAGAAAGGTATTCAAGGACTGAAAAAGTCGAATTAATCCCATAACAATAAATTTTGTCCATTCCCAAATCTACATTAACTACGAATCTAAGCCACTAATAATATAATTTGTAAATTCAAAGTCACCATCATTCATTGCTTAATGGATCTTCATGAGAATTATCTTTATAGTGACTTGTTTTCTCTTTTGACTCATCTCCGGTTGTGTCAGCATGCTCTATATCTTTCTCCTCATCTGCGATCTCAAATAATTTTCTTCTTTCCTTATCAATAAAATCCAATAATAACATTAATTAAATTTAAAAATTGCAGCCATTTTTATGATTATATTCCAATTATTTTTATATAAATTTTTTCTGTTAATTTATTTTTGACTTGTTTTTAGACCTGTTCAACCCTTACTTTTATCTCCATCTAAGAAAATAGATTAAGATCCTGCAAATTTGTTGTTGTAACTTCCTTGTCATCTAATTTCATTGGGATCCTCCATAAATCATTTATCAACCTATGACCTATTTTTACAAATTAATTGACCCGTGTCGTTCTTAGAGTTTTTTTTCTACAACTATTTTTTTAATCTCTTATTGTACATAATGTAAATTAAAGAGTCCATCTTTAAGATGGTCAAATGTTCTCTCCTTTAGGTGTGAACTTCATTATATGTACTCCAATTTTATTTACACTTAGATGGTGAGCATGTAAGATCCATTATTTTGATAGCCAATTATTGTACTTTTGGAGTGTCATCTCCAAATTGAATTTACCATTCAACTAATTTTGGAAAACAATAATTAAAATAGCATTCAAATTCGTTGGAACATTAACCAATAAAAGTTAAATTATATAGGAATTATTTGCAATCATATCTTTGGTTTGTTATAGTGCCAAAAATTCTTTCTTTATTTTTTGCTTTTAAATGCTGCAAGTCGAAGGTCATTTTTTGCTCTCTCGGTTTAGTCAACAACAAAAACAACAACAACAAAGCCTTAATCCCACTACATGGAGTCGGCTACATGAATCATTTTTCTCCATTGCATTCTATTTAGTGTCATATTTTTATTTAGTTCTAATAAATTAGTATCATTTTTTTATACAATAAGCCCAAGTCTTCCTAGATCTGCCTCTGCCTTTCTTAACATAAGTCGAATCTAAAACGTCTACTCTCTTAATCAGATCATCAGATGGTCGACGCTTAATGAGACCAAACCATCTAAGACGACTTTCTCTAATTTTGTCCGTCACATGAGCTACACCAACCCTATCATGGATATAATCATTTCACATTTTGTCTTTAAGTGTAAAGCTACTCATCCACCTAATCATTCTTATCTCGACAACACTTAACTTAGTATTATGCTTCTCTTTTAAAGGCCAACATTCAGTGCCATAGAGCATTGCAGTTTTCACCACTGTCTTATAAAATTTTCTTTTCAGTCTAAGTGGTACTTTTCTATCACACAAAAGGCTTGAAGCATTCCTCCTCTTCAACCAACCAAATTGAATTATACTATTAACATCCCCATCTATATCACCATCGCTTTGGACAACATACCTGAGATATCTAAATTGTTCACACCTTTTAATAATCTGATCACCCAAAGTTATACTTCTGTCACTAGAGCTACTGCTACTAAATTACATTCCATATATTCGGTTTTAGTTCTACTCAAATGAAGGCCTTTAGACTCTAATGTAGACCTCCATAATTCAAGTTTTTCCTGGGTTTTTTCTCTCGTCTTATCCACGAGAAGGACATCATCAACAAAAAACATACACCAAAGTACATCCTTCTGTAAATGTCTAGTAAGACCATCCAAAACTAAAGCAAAAAGATATGGGCTTAAAACCGATCCCTGATATAATCCAACAAAAATAGGAAAATTTTTGGTCAATCCTCCTTCAGTTCGAACACAAGTAACAACTCTAGTATACATATCTTTAATGACTGAAATATAAGTCATATCAACACCTTTCTTCTCAAGTACTTTCCAAAGGACATCTCTTGGAATCTTATTGTAAGCTTTTAGTAAATCAATAAAAATCAAATGTAGATTCTCCTTATTATCTCTGAACTTCTCCTTCAAACCTCTTAATAAATCTATAGCTTCCATAGTAGACCTGCCCGACATAAATCCAAATTGATTATGAGAAATCTTAGTAATACGTCTTAACTCATGTTCAACTACCCTTTCCCATAATTTTAAAGTATGACACATCACCTTAATCCCTCTATAATTTGCACACGCTTGTGCATCCCCTTTATTCTTAAAAATGGGGACCAAAATACTCTTCCTCCACTCTTCATACATCTTTTCAGTTTTAAAACAATATTAAAGAGTTTAGTAAGCCAAGAAACTCCCAAATCTCCTAAATATTTTCATACTTCAATTGGGATATCATCAGGTCCCATAGACATTCCACCCTTGATTTTTTTAAAGCCTCCACAACTTCTCTTTTAATAATGCAATGGTAAAAATGAATCATTTTTTTATTATTAACGATATTGAGATCACTAGGTCAATCGTATTTTCAGAAACTTCATTAAAAAATTTATCAAAATAACTTATCCACCTTTGTTCTCTCGGTTAAGTCAACTATATTCATATAATGATATGAACCAAATTTGATATGAAAATTGTTTGACTTGTTCTCAATGTATTGAATTTGAAAATTACTATCATGTGGCGTGCAAATAATGATGAAGCTAAAGCTCTCACATATTATCAATTATTTTTTTCAAATTTCTTGCACTCGATGCCTCTTATCCTAAATTATATGCTATTGACTCTTTAGCCTTATCTATTATATTATAATTGAAATCTATGGCATGCTGTTCTCCACATCAATCATTCTTAAAACCTGACTTGAGGCTTAGCTATTGTTATAGCATCTCACATTTAAATAAAACCTTTCATTCAAAATATTTTTTTGACTCCTTTGCCTTCAATTTTTTTCTTAAGCACAATTTGACTATTGTGTGGAGGTAAAAGTACACATAACTTCCAAAAATTGTGTTGCTTTCAAGATACTTTGTAAAGTACGCTTCAACAGATTTAATATTGACAAGTTGTAAGAGTTCTTTTTCTAGAAAGTTTTATCAGCAACAACAGCTGCAGCAACAAGGACAACAACAAACATTTATCCCAATAAGTGGGGTCAACTATGTGAATAATTCTTCTCCATTGTGTCCTATTGAGTGTCATATTTTCATTTAATCCTAATAAATTAAGATTATTGTGTCCTATTGAGTTCTTTTTCCAGAAAGTTTCTCATCAAAGAAAAACCCAACTATAATTTTAGATGAGCTTATTAATCTTCTTGGCTTTGGTTGGCTTTTTGTGCCAAGATAACTTGCCAAGTTTTTTAAGAACTAAGTCAATGTAATGTTCTGCACATAGTCTAATACATGTTATCTCTCCGCTCTACCAACTTATTTATTGTCTTGTAAATATTAGCTTTGTTAGGGATAACTTGTACTGCTAAATGCTCTCTAATCTTCTCTATGAGTCCATCAATAAGTTCGATAAAGTATTTTGAAATTTTCTTTTACTTGATTGAATGTTTCAATGGACTTTAAAAAACATGGTGTAGGAGTTGTTAATTAAAATGTTATTTAAGATCATGTGCTTAATATCAGACCAACCATATGTCGTAATAGTAAATTCAACACGTGTAAGGTTTTTTGATCTGGCTGAATTTTTAAGTGCTATTCACTTCTGCCTTTCGTATTAAATTATCGAGCTTATACATAAATGGAGACTTAAGGCTTTAACCATAAGAACATATAGAATATATTTTGCTGATATAAGATGGAGAGGTTGCTAGATTAAATGGAATAACATTTCTATTAAAGAATCTTTCATTGTCAATATAGAAACTCATGTAAGACTCTCCTGTATTTTGAGGAGACATTTGATTAACTAACCTTACACAATCATTGTTGTCATCCGTTACATTCATAATGTATGTGTTTATAGGTCTTTATGCACATCTATTTGACTTTTTTTGCCAATGATTTTGTGGAATCTTTGCCCACAGGCCACAATCATGATACGATGATCCCTATTTATTCTATCATCAAATTATCTTTGTCCCAAATGCTTTGACATGACCACT